GCTTCAATATAACCACTTTATAGTATCAACCCTCAATATAACCACTTTATAGTATTGGCCCTCATTACAACCACTTTATAGTATCGCCCTCAATACAACCACTTTATAGTATCGCCCTCAATACAACCACTTTATTGTATCTGCCCTCAATACAACCACTTTATAGTATCTGCCCTCAATACAACCACTTTATAGAATCTGCTCTCAATACAACCACTTTATAGTATCTGCCCTCAATACAACCACTTTATAGTATTGGCCCTCAATACAACCACTTTATAGTATCAGCCCTCAATACAACCACTTTATTGTATCTGCCCTCAATACAACCACTTTATAGTATCTGCCCTCAATACAACCACTTTATAGTATCTGCCCTCAATATAACCACTTTATTGTATCTGCCCTCAATACAATCACTTTATAGTATCAGCCTTCAATACAACCACTTTATAGTATCTGGCCTCAATACAACCACTTTATAGTATTGTCCCTCAATACAACCACTTTATAGTATCTGCCCTCAATACAACCACTTTATAGTATCTGCCCTCAATACAACCACTTTATAGTATCTGCCCTCAATACAACCACTTTATAGTATTGACCCTCAATACAACCACTTTATACTATCTGCCCTCAATACAACCACTATATAGTATCTGCCCTCAATACAACCACTTTATAGTATCTGCCCTCAATACAACCACTTTATAGTATCAGCCCTCAATAATTCACTTTATAGTATCTGCTCTCAATACAACCACTTTATAGTATCAGCCCTCAATACAACCACTTTATAGTATCAGCCCTCAATACAACCACTTTATAGTATCTGCTCTCAATACAACCACTTTATAGTATCAGCCCTCAATACAACCACTTTATAGTAGACTGCTCTCAATACAACTACTTTATTTAGAGAATTGAAGATATCATGACGAAATGAACAAATCTGAGAAAGGTGCACATGTAGTACCTATATATGCAATATCAAAGCAATTGAGCTTGCGGTTTTTAACAAGAAGTCGAAAATATCACTTTTTACCAAAAATGACAAAAATATTCACCAAAATTAGAGAATTGAAGATATCATCACAAAATGAACAAACCTGAGAGAGGTCCACATGTAGTACCTATATATGTAATATCAAAGCAATCAGACTTACAGTTTTTAACAAGAAGTCGAAAATATCACTTTTTACCAAAAATGACAAAAATATTCACCAAAATTAGAGAATTGAAGATATCATCACAAAATGAACAAATCTGAGAGAGGTCCACATGTAGTACCTATATATGTAATATCAAAGCAATCAGACTTGCGGTTTTTAACAAGAAGTCGAAAATATCACTTTTTACCAAAAATGACAAAAATATTCACCAAAATTAGAGAATTGAAGATATCATCATGAAATGAACAAATCTGAGAGAGGTGCACATGTAATACCTATATATGTAGTATCAAAGCAATTGGACTTGCGGTTTTAACAAGAAGTCGAAAATATCACTTTTTACCAAAAATGACAAAAATATTCATCAAAATTAGAGAATTGAAGATATCAACATGAAATGAACAAACCTAAGAGAGGTCTACCCAAGGTACATATACACCAAGTATCAAAGCATTCAGGCTTGTAGTTTTCAAGAAGAAGTCGAAAAAGTAAAACATTGACACGGACGACGACGGACAATCACTCATATGATAAGTTCCGCTCGACAAATTTGACAGCTGAGCTAAAGAAAAAGTACAATTTTATCGGAGTAAAATTTAATAACATACTTTATTATAAACACTCTTTATATATTCTTGCATTTCATTAATATATGTACAATTTTCTTTGGGAGGGCATACAAGTAATTGTAAAACAAATTGGTGTACATCAATAACCCAACATGTTCAATATTATTATATTATCGTCTGCGTGTTGATAAGTAAATAATGTTATTCCGGCATTTTATTTTGATGACAAAAAAGGTTGCAAGGTGGTTAAATTTCATAAAAAATAACTAAAAAGGTTATGCAACCAATTATGTTTTGTGTTTAATTTGTACCAAATTCAAACAAAAGCCAATCAGCCAACTTGAATCAGATGGCAAACAAACTGACATGCATCAATGACTCGCAATGAGTGATGGTAATACCAAATTTGAATAAAATCTTTTTAGCATGCCTGAGAAATGGTTGATGTTATATTCAAATGTTAATTTTTGGGGTTTTTTTGGACTAAAATTCCCACCAAAAGTCAATAGAACGAAGAACAAATTGATGTGCATATGTCTCCTATTAAGATTTATCTTCTGCCAACTTTGAACAACATCGGTCAGAAGGACGAATGGAATGAACCCGAAAGATAACTCCTCATCAGACGAAACATGTTATTATGTTTGAACAAGATGACCCATATTTCAAGTAAAATATAATACTTGACATACTTTTTATAATGAAACTTTTGTAATACAATATTTTTTATACCATTTTTTAAAGGGTCAAAAGCTGCAAGTTTTATACTTTTCATAATAATAATATTAATTATTAGTACCGGTACATTAATATAATGGAAATTCATCAATTATAATGCAGTTTGACAACAATGTAAAACAGCATCTATAAAAAAAGGCACAAGTGTGAGAATTTTTGTTGAATTATAAGTGTACCATACTCGCATCTAATAAATGCATGTACTTCTAAATGGAATGTAACAAAACCTTGTGGAGTATTGTAAAAATATTCCAGTAGGTATAACAAGGGAATAGATCAATGACTAGAAAAAAATACTTTTAACTACTTAGTAATAACAAAAATATATAAAAAAAATGTTTGGGAAGTTGTAGTTGTAATGACAAAGATCAATATATTACTTTTTGCTAAAATCGTATGAAAATTATATATACAACACAAGTTTTTTGTGAAAGACAAAAAATTTAAGTTTCTTGTACAACAATAAATTTAAAATGGAATTGCTTACACTCCTTAATTTGGAATTACATCACACATGTAGCATATTTGTACACACATAAGGCGCAGTCCAAGACAAGTTCAAATTTTGTTCTACTGAGCATGTTACTGCATATATACACAATGCATTATGGGAGACAACTTTAAATTTTGTTCTACTGAGCATGTTACTGCACATATACACAATGCATTATGGGAGACAAGTTCAAATTTTACACTACTGAGCATGTTACTGCACATATATGCAAAGCATTATGGGAGAGAATTTCTTATTGTACATAATAGAAAACTATAATCATCCTGAAAATTGACAAAATTATATGACATTTTTTTTAAACTTCTTCATCCTATGTCACTGATGAAATATGAGAAATAATGTCACTATAGAAACCAGTGTAAAAATGCTACTTTTGACATTTTCCATGACATTTTGTATCTTGAAAAATTGGTTGGTGACATCAATTTTGTTTTTCATGCTGACTTCATTGACCTATAATAATGAAAGTCTGACCTATAATCTTCAATTCAGATAGAGCCTGCCTAAGACATTATACAAATGATTCAAACTATCATGTATGTATATACCGGTAACATTTTATTCGCCCTATTACTGTAAAATACTTTATTTTCACATTTTTTGCTGATGGAATGACTCAGTAAAAATAAATCCACCTTTTTTTATACCTTTTTTTCTACATTCAACTCATCAAAAATCAGTGAAAATAATGTATTTTCTAGTAGTAGCGTCTGCACTTATGCAAATATGTGTTCTTATATTTCAAATAAGTCTTATTGATTCAGTATAAAATAAATTGTTGATGCGCTTCTATTAGTATTGCACTTCTAATAGAATATATATGGTAATAAAGTAACAATTATCATCACTAGGCAGTTTCATATGAAGCGTTTGTAGCAGCATTCAAGTCCTTTTTGAATCTATTTTCGTACTTCCACTTTGCTTTCAGTGCGGCAATTTCATTTGACAGTCTTCTTGCAAAAAGCACGCCAAACATCTAGAATAAAAAAAAGATATGGAAAGTGGCTTCAGACAAATACCAAATGGATGGTCTGGTTTTGCAGGTTTCATTTTCAACAGAGGGTGCTGTGCAGTGGTGAAAAAACACAGCTCCATACTGTTTTTTTTTTTGCGCACACGCTAACAAAAATCATTATTTTTTTCAAATCCTTAAAAACTATTTCTATTCTAACAATATTGCTGGCTGAAACAATGAAAAAAAGTGCATGTTCGTAGAAACAAATTTGTTTTTTCTGCCTTTATATTCTTTGCATGCATTTATATATGATGTCAGACTTTTCAGCTAGCATGACATTTTATCTAAATTTGTTATTTGTATTCGCACTAATTCAAGTAAAAAGTCATACATATGAAAAATTGAACATAATAAACATATAATTAAATATTATATTACCTCCAACAGAGCAAGCCCAATGGGAACACCACCAATGATGTAATAGTTATCAGAAATAAATTGCCGAAATGCCGTCACGCATCCGACAACGTATATTGTTTCACCTCTTTCCACATTCTGTGAATAAATATTATACGATAAGGACAAACAAACATTCTCACAGAATCTCAAAAACAAACGACAATTTAAATGGCACCAGGACCCCCTTCTTATAAACAAAATTGTCATTTGTACAAACTTTCTAATGTCTCAAGTTATTTTAAATTTTGAATTTTTTTTTTCAAAGAAACTAAGTGGATGAAATAAAACCCAGATCTGCAGTCAAATGTTATATTTTAATTTTTTTGTTCATTTATCATAAACAATCTCACAATATATCTGAAACTTGAACTGCATCAAACTTTCAAATGCCATCATTTTTCTCTCCAAAATTAAGATTTTGCACATTTTTATGTATCTTTCCTTTTAATTTATTTGAAAATCTTTGATAAAATGGAAAAAAATTTCCCTTTAGCTACATTACATGCCTTAACCAAAATGATTAAAAAGAAATATGAAAAAAATGACATGGGTATATATTGCTATAAACTTAGGGGCGATGATTGTCACAAATTTCTTAGAGTTTCTTACTAACGGTAGTTATTGATGGTGACAGATTGAAGAGTAATCAAAGTTGTTGACAAATTATAAGTGACGATACTTCTGGGATTTGCTGTAAAACACTTTTTTCACAGTTTTAAACAATTCAGTATTCCATTTATCTCACTGATTAATATAACAATATTACTCTGTTGATAAACATTGATTTTCCCACAATCCAATGCGCTCTTCAAATCAAAATCACAAGTATGAGGTTTGACCTGGGCGCGACATACACTGATTACCGCCAGTGACTCCTTGGTACCTTCCAATCACATGAAAATTACCTAATTAAAGCTTGGAAACACCTCAGTTCATACTTGTTGATCTGCGCAACAGTGAAAGCCGCCATCTTTGTTTATATAAGACCCATATATCTCACACATGCACAGCTCGACGACTACGATGGTTGTCACTTGCGCACACACGGGAATTGACTCCCAAGCGATGATAACAGCACACACTAAAAATGCAAAGGCTCATGGGTAGATGCTTGTATGTAAACAATTACACGCTATGGCCATCTGACGCATGCGCAGGTGACGACTCCCCCTCTTTAAGAATACTTTTCTAATTGTGATAAAACTTTTCAGTTATCTAACCCTTACCATTCCTTCTTTGCGGATATCATAACCACATTGAACGTTTATTACAGTCTCCTAGAAAGAAAACAAAGAAAATATTGATCAATTATTTGACATAAGAGTAAATGGACGGTTATTGAGACCATAAGGAAATGATGCAATGGCAGACAATCTTAATGAGATGATGATGATAGTTTACCAAAGTGACTTTTATTACCGGTATCATTAAAAGCAAGAAGAAACTAGTAAATTTCAAAAACAAATTCTCTCACCTCTGGATCTAACCGACAACATGAGAATGGAACACCACATGCTTCTCTAGATCCCTTTGATTCCATGGAACAATTAAAATAAATATTGTTTTCCCAATCATCAAAACTTGTTGCTCCACAACACTTCAACTGAATTTAAGTAAGAAAAAAAATTATGAGTTATTTATCTAAAAGAAAACGCACATTCACTGCTAACAAATTTACGAAATGATGTTTCTGACAAAATTGAAGCTGTTTACACTACCACTAAATTATGAAACTGCAAATATTTTTAGTAGAAAAATTTGAATGTTTTATAGTATCTTGTTTATTATACTACAAAATATAAAAAATATATAAAAAAATGATCAACATTGTCTTGGTAAAATTGTCATTACCTGTTGCTGTAATTCATCAATTAATTCTTGTAAATTTATGTCCTCTCTGTATTTCTGAATTGCTGATATTATAATATCATCAACTTTTGTATAAAACTGTAATAGAAGAAAGTCAGTTACCATGGTTATATTATTCGTATCGTAGACTTCACATAAAAATTCTAAAACATGGTCTGAGTTTTCAACATTACTTCAAACTGATGTATGAGGAGGCTTGTGTCAACAACTAGTGCTTGATATTCAATGTGTTATTTTAATTGTTTTTTTAATAGGGTGGGAAAAATAGAGATTTACTTTATATGATGACGACATGTATTCCAGGCAAGCATTTTCCTGAATAATCACAATTTAGAATGTTCTCATACCGTACAGACCGTAGCATATACCATTTTCAGACAAGAGTAGATCAATTCTCAAATCTCCTTGTTTGGCTATTATGTGTGAGTTACTATTACTCTACCAGTCACGTTCAAGCTGTTTTTCTTTGACACAATTTGTTGACCAATTAGAGTATACTAACATGAGTTCTGATTGATTGCTATTACTACAAGAGTTAAACACAACTTGATAGGTAGCTAGTAGATGTAGATACATGTACACCGGGGACTGGAATTAAAAGCTACTGGAGCCACTACATCAGATTTTATTCACAGATTCACATAACCTTTGAACATTTAAACAAAAACTTTATGATTTAACTTATATTAAGATTGAATTATTTTACTTCCAAAACTTTCTGTTTAAAGCGAGAATACAAGAAATTTCATCCAGAGCAGCTAAAATAAATTCACCTCAAATGTGCCAAATTATTGAAAATCACTCTGATAAATTGCCTCAGTGCTTTGAGCAGATATTTTCAATTCCAGCCAGCCATTTTTAAAAGATAATAAGCCTATACTTACTTTTTCTGTATTGTATTGTAAAGTTATAAAAAGGAATAATCCCATCGCCATTTGAACAACAAATATCAAACATAATACTATTGTAAACTGGAAAGCAAAAAGAAAAACACAAGTCAATGAAGTCAATGGAACTCCATATAAATAACAATTAATGTAACAAATGACAGCGGGATATTTTATCCTTACAAATAGCTGCGGACACAGATTAAATCAAAGAAAGTTTAGAAGGAACTCCAAGGGGCCATTCCAGTTTATATCTGCACCCCCCTGTTGATGAGTTTGTGTGTTTACTTCATACAGGGTATAATTTCCATGGGTGTATAAGTCATACAAATTTTTATTTCAAAATCACCATTCACCATACAGTAATGGAAATCCAAAACTATAGGTCCTACTTATGGTGTTGATGAGTTCCTTAGTGACACCATACAGAGTAGGATTTCCAAATATACCTCTCATAATATGCTAATTTACCAAGTTCAAAATTTTATATCTGATAATGT